AGAGACCTTGATTGCGTTCCTAACTCCATCCAGGAAAGGAAGGTCTGTGCATCCACAGTTCCCATAGAATCTGGGAATGGGCGACAGGGGATGGATCACTTGATGATTACCTGTTCTGTTCATTCCCTCTGAAGCACCTGGCACTGGCCACTGTCAGAAGACAGGATACTGGCCTAGATGGACGGTTGGTTTGATCCTGTATGGCCATTCTTATGTTAAGATTTTCTTTTCTTCACCCAGCAACATGTAATCCAATCAGAAAGTATCATTTTAAATGTCTTGATAGGCAACAAGCCTATGTATCTTGTAGACTATTTAGTACACCAGCTCCAAGGTCACTAAAGGGACATAATGCTATTGAAAGAAATCAAAACCTGACAGTAATGACAACATAAAGACTGTGCTCTTGTCCCAGACCCTATGCTCCCTTCTTCTTTGCTGTATTCACAGATTCTTAGATTCCAAGGCCAGAAGAGACCATTGTGCTCACACAGTCTGACCTCATGTGTAATACACAGGCCACAGCACTTCCCCAAAATAATTCCTAGAGCATATGTTTAAGAAAAACATCCAATCTTGATTTAAAACGATCAGCAATAGAGAATCCACCACAACCCTTGGTAAATTGTTCCAATGGTTAATCACTTTCATCTTTTAAAATGTACACCTTATTAAATAGCATAATCTAACTTTCACCAATTTGTGCATCACTTTGAATGTTGGGAACAAGGAAGTTTAAGCTGGTAGAACAAAATACAACAAGGGAGCTGGAAGAAAGTATAAATCTCCTCAATATATGTTTCACTCTATATGCATCCGAAGAAGTGGGTTGTAGCCCACGAAAACTTATGCTCTAATAAATTTGTTAGTCTCTAAGGTGCCACAAGTACTCCTGTTCTTTTTTCATGACTTTGACTCACATTTGAATTTGGCACCATGGCTTTTTTAAATCCTCACACATTCCTTTATGGCTGTATGTGTCACCTTTCCTGGATTTGTCAGTTCACATTGTTCAATTTGTTTACCAATTTGCAGTTCTTGACTCTTTTGGCCAATACTGATGGTCTTAAAATAATTTCTCCAAGTAACTATTTTCAGGTATCCAAGAATACTGATCCTGGGATCTCCACAAATATATTTACTATCCTAGTGTTTTTGCAATTTTCTTTTGATTAAGTGCTGTGACAGGTTCGGTCACAGAGATCCCCTGGGACTGTCACCTGCTGTGCTGAAATTACCTCTGAGCCCATTTTCCCTGACAGCTTGGGACTCCAGAACCCTGCCTTGTTGAGCCAGACATGCTAGCCTTCTGCAACACAGACTCATGGCCTGGGCCATTCCCCCAAAGCTGCAGACTAACTAAAAACAGCTCAGCTCCAGTACCCAGACACCTGATGGGATCCAAACCCCAAATAAATCCATTTTACTCTGTATAAAGCTTATACAGGGTAAACTCATAAATTGTCCGCCCTCTATAACACTGATAGAGAGATATGCACAGCTGTTTACTCCCCCACAAATTAATCGCTTACTCTGGGTTTATTAATAAACAGAAGTGATTTTATTAAGTATAAAAAGTAGGATTTAAGTGGTTTCAAGTAATAACAGACAGAACAAAGTAAGTCACAAAGCAAAATAAAACAAAAACATACAAGTCTAAGCCTAATACATTAAGAAACTGATTACATGTAATCTCTCACCCTCAGAGATGTTCCAATAAGCTTCTTTAACAGACTAGACTCCTTCCTAGTCTGGGCCCAATCCTTTCCCCTGGTACAGTCCTTGTTAGTTCTCACAGACATCTTAAGTGGTAAGCAAGGGTTTTCTCATGACTGACAGCCCCTTTGTCCTGCTCCATTCCCTTTTATAACTTTTACACAAGGCAGGAATCTTGTCTCTCTCTGGGTCCCCACTCCACCTTCTAAATGGAAAAGTACCAGATTTAAGATGGATTCCAGAATCATGTGACACGGTCACATGTCCTGTGAGACCCCAGCCTCCATTCTTTCTGGGCTGGCCCACACGTACACGGGAAGGTTTGCAAGTAAACAGAGCCATTTACAATTCATTGATTCTGAAGCACCCTTAATGGCTTACACTTAATATGTTTACATTAGTAATACAAGTTTACTTCTTATTCTCCTAATTCCAGACGTAGAAATAATACATGGAAACAAATAGGATGAACACACTCAGTAGATTATAAGCTTTGTAATGATACCTTACAAGAGACCTTTTGCATAAAGCATATTCAAGTTGCATCATATTCACATTTATAAGCATATTTTCATAAAACATATGGAGTGCAACATCACAAGTGCAACAGCACAGTAAAATGTATAATATCTCTCCCACTACTTAGCAAGTGTCTAGTTCTTGTGTTTCTGCATTTTTCAATGTTGTTTGTGTGCAGTAAATTCTAAACATCATTTCCTGTTGTATTATACTAAAACAGTTTGACTGGTACTATGATATAAATATTCCCTGAGAATGTTATAGCTTTAGATTTGTAAATTTATTACATTTACATGTTACTTTTTTCCTAGGGTTCTTATTCTTGCTGAATTGCTACAAATAACTAGAAATTATTTATACTATCTAATCAGGAAGACACCATGTACCCAGCTGTAAAACACTGCTTTACATAAAATAGAAAAAAGTATTTTGTTTCCAAAGGGTGTAACCAAACCAACTAAGACAAAACAAGAAACAAATATCAGGCCTAGTGAGTAAGGGAAATAGTTCACATACATACACTTTGATTCAGTTTAATGGAAATATACATACAATTGTTTTATAAGTACAAATAACAAGAAGGTAAGAAGGTGGATATGTAGGGAAACATAACTGAGTTTTTTGATCATTAAACATTTAAATGAGTTGCTAAATGAGCATATTAACTCCAATCTCAAGAGAGGATGTGAACTACTAGAGCAAATAGAATCATACACTCATAGAAGATTAGGGTTGGAAGAGACCTCAGGAGGTCATCTAGTCCAACCCCCTGCTCAAAGCAGGACCAACACCAATTAAATCATCCCAGCCAGGGCTTTGTCAAGCCGGACTTTAAAAACCTCTAAGGATGGAGATTCCACCACTTCCCTAGGTAACGCGTTCCAGTGCTTCACCCACCCTCCTAGTGAAATAGTGTTTCCTAATATCCAACATAGACCTCCTCAGCTGCAACTTGAGACCATTACTCCTTGTTCTGTCATCTGCTACTACTGAGAACAGCCGAGCTCCATCCTCTTTGGAACCCCCCTTCAGGTAGTTGAAGGCTGCTATCAAATCCCCCCTCACTCTTCTCTTCTGCAGACTAAACAAGCCCAGTTCCCTCAGCCTCTCCTTGTAAGTCATGTGCCCCAGCCCCCTAATAATTTTCATTGCCCTCCACTGGACTCTCTCCAATTTGTCCACATCCCTTCTGTAATGGGGGGCCCAAAACTGGACGCAATAATCCAGATGTGGCCTCACCAGTGCCAAATAGAGGGGAATAATCACTTCCCTCAATCTGCTGGCAATGCTCCTAACAATGCAGCCCAATATGCCGTTAGCCTTCTTGGCAACAAGGGCACACTGCTGACTCATATCTAGCTTCTCATCCACTGTAATCCCCAGGTCTTTTTCTGCAGAACTGTATTGTTTGCTGTGCATCAATATGTGATTTTAATTACTTGAGACTTATAAGATTCTTAAAGGGGGTTTTATTCTGCAGTTCTTTCTTTTAAAACACACATGCATTCTGAGTGTCTTTAATCACCAGTACAGTGTGTAGCACCCCTTGCTGTGGTATCTAAGCACTTCCTAGTAAATTAGTTTTACATAGCAAGACCCAGTGAACTTCAGAGTCTTCTGGTATTCTCCCTTCCTAGTTATAGAAAGCTCTGTTTGGCATCATCATTCCACGTGTGATATGGAAAAAAATTCTTCCCTCCCACAAAGACAACTATCATTTCTAAGGAAGAATACAGACTCCTGGCACCATCTTTGCTCCATATATACCGACAACAGATAGGATCCTCAAAAGAATCATCAGCCAACCTGAGCGTAAATAGCATAGGTTAGAGAGAGAAATTCTCAAGTTTTTAGGCTTCTTACAGGTAGCTGCCTTGTCAAGAAACCAAGCTCTTAAGAGACTGTACGTGGCATGGTCCTAAGATCATTTATGCTTTCTTTAAATGTAGTTGAGCAGTTTTTTGTTTGTAGGTTTTTGTCTTAAGCCATTTTTAATTATGTCTTCACATTTTGCATAAGTGACACCTCTCTTTCATAGACCATCTCCTGAGAAAAATGGGAAATTCAGCAATCAGTCCTATTTTTGAACTTTGTTTCCTGCTGTTGCTCAGAACTACCATTCCAGATGCAGAAAAGCACAAAGAAATTCTACAGGTTGTCTACATTAGTGTTTCGCAGTGCTAGTGTTAGAAATGGTAGGAAACTTTCAGAAAGAACACCTAGCATAAATGGGGCAATTGGCAGCTTTCATAATCTGCAACCACTTTTAAGAGCAACTCTAGGTCATGAGAAACTTGCAAAGGTGACAACTTGATCTCAGTTCACTTCCCACAGCCAGAAAAAAATATCACATGAAAAAAATACTCCACAGAAAAAACTAGTGTTCACTAGCTTTTATGATAACCTTACACACTGTTTGGCATATGTGCAAGTTATCTATCACCTTCATAGTAAACTGCCCTTTTAAAGTAGAGCACACACTTATACTACAAATACATACCAGCTGGCTGGTGTATTGTTTTCAGATATTGGTATCTGCATTCCTTTAACCGGATGCAGTAACATTGTCCTAGTTCAGATGTGGCAGATAAAAACAATGTGAACACATAGTTTGTTTTCATTTTTAAAGCCTCCAATGGTATCCAGTAACAATAACAGGAAGAGCTGTAAGGATCGATAGGCAAGATTATTACTTGGGACTTTTCTTCCTCTTCCTAAGAATACATATGTGAACTTTTCGATATCATATAAAACAGAGTACTTACCAGGTCCCTGTGAAGCACCCAGTTTGCATGGAGGTAATGGATTCCATCAAGGATCTGGTAGAGTAGTGATTTAACCATAGATCTTGGCAACTGCATGGGCTTTTTATTTGCTTTTGAGGCACGGTGAAACTTGATAATATGCTAGAAATAAAACAAGTAGAAACATGAAGCTTTTTTAACAAAGTAAGTTTCCTCAAATAACATTAACAAAGGGAAAGAAATAAAGAGGTTGTTGCCTTTTGCATTGCAAAGGTGGCCTCCAATTATTTTTTAAATGTGTGTGTTCTCACTGTTACACACCTACTCATTTTTAAAGAAAATCTAGATACTACCAAAACAGTGACTACTTATCACTTTGCAGTCACTGTGGTTCTTAGAAATGGTTTTTTCCATGTGGACCCCACCCCATTTATGGTACATATGTGACGCATGTGCATGAGATTGGATTCTTTTGTCCAGCAATGTCCATTGGTGCCACACCTGTGCCTTGCACCCACCCAATGGCATATGGGATAGACCGGTCCTGATTGCCTCTCAGTTTCCTTGCTAATTCACAATCCCAGCACAGATGGACTCCAAAGGAACAGAGAAGAGGGGCGGTCATGGGATTCATAAGGACAAAACAATTTAAAGACCACAGTTACTGTAGGGATAAGTAATCATTCTCACCTCGAGTTGTGCTCAGTATGGATCCCACTTATGGTGATGGACTAGCAGTTCCCAGATTAATAAAGGAGGGTCTGAGGATTTCTAGCTACAGAACTGCTCTCCCAAATTTGGCATTTGATTTGCTCTCTGATCCAGAGCCTAAGGTTTGTTAAAGATATAAAATTAGCTCCCAGTGACTGCCCTGTGAGTCTCTGAAGAGGATGCCTCAGCTCTAGTTGAGCGGGCCCTGTTGCCTGAGGTAAGGGGCATATCTGCTAGTTGGCAACAAGATGTAATGCACTGAATGACCCACTTGGATAATCTCTGGGAAGAGGGTGATTCAGGAATTGTTTGGGGAATCCCTGAGAGGAGATGGGGACTGGATGTCTGGAGATGGGTCTCAGCTTAATTCTGGAAAGAGTATGTGAGCGAAGAGAAGGAAGAGTAAATATATTCTAGAGATGGTGGTGACATCTCAGTGGTAGGATAAGACATTACCAGTACTGAGGGTTTAATTCTTTCTTGTGCCAGAGAAACTGGTACTAGTGGCATCAGAATTGAGGCCAGTGCCAGGGGCTCAATCTCAGTAGGTAGGAACAGGCCTGTAATACTGTTATGGACTATGGTACTGGGGATCTTGGTGCCTATGAGGAATCTTTGTTTCAGTACCAGAATAGATTTGGTGCCATACTAGCCTGTCCAGGGAGCCTTTGGGTTCATCCCTATTTACAGAGATACTTAAGGATTGGGATCAGTGGGAAAAGAGTCCCTTTCTGGCATAAGAGAACACCTTTCAGAACTCAATTAACCCCTTATGGATGGCTAAAACTCTACCTCCTGGAGCCAGGTATCTCCGGAGTGATGAATTCTGGTAAAGAAGGACCAGCACACAGAGCAACGGTCTGGATCATGGCTCTTGAAAAAGAAAAGACACCAACTGTGTCCATCAGTTATTGGAATAAGTCCATCACATGATTGGTATGGCTTGAAGTCAGAGGGTTTAGACTCGGCCATTACACAGGCAGGCACCTTGGCGCTAATTAGTACTCAGGCGAAAAACAGAAAATCTAAAGAAAACAAAAAAGAGCTGCCATGAGGGTAGAAAATTGCTCCTGAACTAGTTATGCTAATTACTAATATTTACAAACATTTACATAATTGCTTCAATGAAGGGGCACTATGGGGTAGCAGGTGAACACTACAAAGTTTCCTCTCGCAGTCACTGGCGGTAAAAGGGAAGTGAGAGGCAGTCAGAGCCATTCTGCCCTATATGCCCTTAGTTGAAGGGTGGAGTGCACGAGGACATACATGGCACAGGCATGGTCCCAACAGATACTACTGCTCAAAAGATTCCAATCTCGTTTGCATGAGGTGCTGCACGCCATAAGTGAGATTCTCACAGACTGAGATTCAAAGAACCATGCATAACAAGCCAACTTTCAATGTGCTTTTCTACAGGATGAAATTCATGCAGACCATTTGCATACATTTATTTAGAGCAATTCAAGGTATTAATTTGAGCAGCGACAAGACTGAATTGCTTGAACTTTCTGTAGAAGCTGCCTAATTCAAAAAATGTTCCCCAGCTTTGAAGCTTTAGATATCAGGCTGTAACTAGAAGCTGTGTCTACATTAGACTTTTTCTCTCATCATTCTCACCATTGCTACCACTGGTGAAGCTCCTCTGGGGGGAGAGTTAACATAGGCCAGCCACTGGTATTTTAGCCACCATGTCAACGAACCATACTCAGAGCAGCTCTTGATGACACAGTGGGGTTAAAAACCTGGCAGCTCCTTGTCAACACTAATATTCTCATTGTTGCTTCCACAAGTGATGATGATAGTGGGAAATACAGAAAAATGCCTAGTATAGACAAAGCCATAAGGTTACTAGTTCTTGCCACCCCAAAATACAATTAGTAAATAAACCCCAAACTCCTACAGCAGGGATCCAAATGACTGAATATTCTGATAACACTAAATGAAACCCTTAAGGGGTCATTTTACATATTATGAATTTCAAAGTACTTTTCAAAAGATGCTGCTGCTACTTACAACAATTTAAAAAATATATTTTATTGGTATACAATCAAAAATTCAGAAGCAGCAATAAAACATGCAGAGGTTACCATGTCAAAGACCCACACACCAAATCAATTAGTAAAAGCTTAGCCCCTTTCTCATGGAGCATGTACTGATAAAAGCATTTCAGTGGATCCATTTCAGAACTAGCTAATGATCTTTGCAAGAAACTAATCCTTACAAAAATATTTTTTAAAAACCAAACCATATCATGGCATGTAGAGAAATCCCCAACATAAAAGAACAAGGCTGGTTAGGGATACTTAAATGAAACAAATGCACAGCCATTATGAGCAAAGTATGCAAAAGAACACAAATGAGAGGTAGACGTTAAAAAACTGCAACTATAAAAGAGTCAGGGAGTTAATAGTGTATTAAGGTTTGTTGGAAAATTATCTAACCCTCTCTGGAGAGATTCTCCTTTAAAGGTCTAATCAAAGCCTAGTTCCCTGTACTAAGTGCAGCTTTACTTTCTTTCCCAATCCCCCCAATTTTACAGGTTAATTATAATTGATAATTTCCCTCAACAGAGGTAGATGGGTTTCTCAAATTCCATTTCCTACAAAACAAAAGCAAAAGCTACAGTTACTGCTGCTACCTTGTTCCAGTAGAGACAGGCTTACACTATTCTACACACTTGGTTTGATCATGTCCCACTTACAAATTCAGTACTGAGTAAGATTTAAATTAAAGATACATTCAAGGCCAAGGGATTGGGATACAGAATATTTCACTGGACTGAATCAATCTTATGAGTGACCAAGTCATACACATCAGAAGGCTGTTTAATGGCTTATGTAAGATGAGTTGGTCTCAGTCCAGTTTCTTGTGGACAAATATACATATAAAAAAACTACCAGGACAACTAGTATTAATGTGAAATTTTGTTGGCAGCTTCATCTGAGAGCCCACGGAACGCAGAGACATGGTAACTGGCTACCGTCTCACCATCAGAGATTGTTCCTCCAGAACAAGATTGATGGCTGGTGGGTCCCAGTGCTTTTATTTGTTTTATTTATTTAATTTATTAATTTCTTCAAATTTCCAAAAGTACAGCTATAAGCTTCCATCCAGTGCTCTGGGGGCCTATTCCATAAACTAGAAACCACAACAAAAATAAAGGACTGACCATAAAATAGCCACCTTAGCCCACTCCCTCCTCAACAGCCTTAAGGAACAGAGAAAAAATGGGATCTGCAATGTATCCAGAAAGTTAACGCATCTTGGCTCTGGCAAACCAAGGGAGAAAGCGAGTTCCAAAACACAGGACCTCTCACAGAGAATGCCCTGTCAGCAGCCCTCCCTTGTTTGTACTGAAGAAGCTCCAGCTCGAGCACCTCTGCTGATCTCAAATAGGACAGGATATAAGAGGGAGAGAATTGATCTCTCAGGTAACCAGGTCAGAAATCAAATTATTCAAGATCAAGGAAATAGAAAAATCAAGAATTTGCCAGAGTTGCTTTGTTACAAACTTCCCAATGACGTTGCCTAAAAACGGTAGATAAGAAACAGGTTCACAGTTAGCAAGACTGACAACATCATGAGTTGGTTTCTTGAAAACGGATTTATTTAAGAGCTGCTGGGAGCCACTGCTCTTCCCTCACCCAGGGAAACACTGACAATATCAATCAACAATGGACCCACTACTTCCCAACTGGCCTGAAACAGCTGGTAAAAAAAAAAAGGTCCAAACTAAAAGCTGATGAAACCTCCTATTATCGTGAACATAAGAATGGCCATACTGGATCAGACCAATGGTCCCTTTATCCCAGTATCCTGTCTTCCAACAATGGCTGGTGCCAAATGCTTCAGAGGGAACGAACAGAACAGGGCAATTTATTGAGTGATCCATCCTTTGTCATCCAGTCTCAGTTTCTGGGAGTCAGAGGCTAGAGACACCCAAAGGATAGGGTTGCGTCCTTGACCATTTTGGCTATTAGTCATTTATAGACCTATCCTCCATGAACTTAGCTAATTCTTTTTGGGATTAGCAGATAAGCACTGAACACCTCACAACCCCTCACACCATGTCCAACATAGTGTCTTTTTTCTCAGAACCTAGGAAATGTTATATCAGCTTAGATCAGTGACCCTTCTCTTCCAGCATACCGTCTTCCACAGTAGCAGAAAAACTGTCTATCTGGCAGAACAGACACAAAAGCAGCCTTCAGCAAGTACTATAGCATTGAGGAAAGGGGGAAGGATGAAGCCCAGCCAGAATTACCCTTCTTCTTTCAGTGTCTCCAGACCCAGAACTCTGTAGGGGTGAACCTCCCACCTTCTGGGGATGCTAGGGTCCATGGGGCACCAACCTACCCCTAAGCCACGTGAGAAGAAGAAAGAACCAGGAATGAACCTGCCTCCCCCCTCCCACACACACACACCCATAGAAACTCTCAAGCCAGCAGGAA